TTCTATACAAATCCGAGTTTTTCTCTGGTTTCCTTACAAGTTACCTTAACCTCAGCCATGTCCAAGTTGGTATAAAATCTTTAATAATACATATTCATGATGTCAGATATACATGTCTGTGCAAAGCTTTACTTTAAACCTGTATTTAATCTTTGTATAAGATCACCAACATTTATCTTAATTAAACCTTGGCTGCATTATTACGATTTTGCATAATTGTTCCAGGAGTAAATTACTAGTTTTTTAATCAATTACGCCACTTACTCCAAATATACAGTTTTAAAAATCCTAGAGAAATACCTTATATTACAATTCAAAATGCATTTACTCTTACTCCTAACATAGAGGACTCATGTTTTGCAGATTTACTTTTTCTTGGCATGCATAAATAATTTCGGAATGGGAGAAAAATGCTTTGGTCTGTCGATTCAAATTTCAAGTCTGCATATTTATGAGACAATATAGAGATAAATCAGCGGTGCAGGGTCTAAATAAATATATGACTAGATACCGGATTCTGTTCTTTACAAGCAAAGCACAAAAACATATTTTAGGAACTAAACTACCTGTAGTATGGACGAAATAAAAATCACCTACCTGTCCTCCCCACAAATAATCCTCTATCTTTAAAATTCTATACTGAAACCGGAAAACGCGATACTGTAACACGTTCACTACGGTGGTGTAAGAAGCTCAAGGTTTTGTTTGAAAAAAACAGCTTTTATGTTGAATGACTTCAAGCTGATTAAATAACAACTGGACAGTAATCACAATTTCTACTACAATCGTTTAGTCTAAAGTTTACAGCATTTTATTTATAAGTACTGGTCAGATTTCTTTTAAAATCCAAGGTCATAAGACTAAGCCATGAAGTGTATCGTGTTTTTATTTTTTGCACTGCTATTTTGTATGCCGTTTAAAATGTTAAATAGAAAGTAATAATTAAAGTTTACAGTCAGAAATGAGTTCCTAATGACATTTCTTAAATCATTCATGTGTTTTGGGTATAAGCCCCACGAAATGAAAATTGATATACGATATTGTTAAATTTATGCCTGTTTACATATCTAACTTAGTGACCTTTTGTCAAAATAGGATTGCTTTTAAGTTTCGTAATTAAAATATTAAGAATAATGATCGTTCTATTCGGCTTCCAATGAATATTCATTAGGAAAATAAGAACTGCTTAAGAATATTTAAATACGTAAATCTCTGGAACTGTTTGAAAAGCGGCTTTTATCATATGAGAATAATATATAAATAGCACGTAGGTTTGTGTGTAATAGTTTCTTGCAAGTTAAGGATATTTGAGTTATTCTTACCCTTAGTTCAATTTTATTACAATTTCAGAGTTGAGCTGTGTTTTAAAATTATCAAATTATGAAACACGTCAAATGCTGATAATTTCTTCTATATTAGTGATTTTGACAACAGAACGGATCATCCTTTTCAAGAAAGGTAAAATATTGCAAGCCAATATCCAACACGTTCGGACAATGTCTTTAACTTGACGTCCCGTGCGAAATACGCAAGATAGTATCAATGTGTGATCAATTTGCCTTTTTCTATGAAACTCTCGTTTCATGTAGACTTATTGAAATGTCAAGCAGTAAAGCATATGAGGGCTAAAGGGTAAAAGTTCCAATAATTACGCATTATTTGCATTTTAGATAACACATACGTAGTTACTATCAAAACTTCTAGCCACAAGGCAATATACGTCATTACGATTGTTCTTATTTCTATTTTAAAAGTCTAAAGTTTGCCAACTTGCGCACCTAAGAATTTTAAGGATTTTTGTTGTTTTAAAACTTGTTCTTGTTTTAACCCTGACGCGATATATACACCTTTTAACGCATTTTTACCCGCCCCTTTTTGGTGTCTCAAGTGGTGAAAAATGCCTTATTTAGGCCACCAACACTTGTTTTTGTTTGAGAAATGTTGTTTTAAAAAGTGACCACTTTTTCGGCATGGCCCCTCAACCCAAAGCTACATCAGGGGGTTGCCAGAAGGGGGATGTGCCCCCTTCTGTTTGGGGGGTTTGAAGGGGGCGGAGTCCTCCTCATCGCCAAGAAAATTTTGGACATGTGTGAGGCTAAAAATGACCCCAGATCGATCAAAAGGTAACGTGTAACCAACGCTGAAAAGCATTTGACTCTATCTCAATCCATAGAGAAGTTGCAGCGCTTTGAAGTCAATTTTGATGGAAAAAATCAACGCAAAATAGTGATTTTTGGCAATTTTGAGATGTCCCGTCGTTGCCATGGTAACAGAAAATTTAAATCTGAGCATGTTGTTGCGTAGGAAATGGTCCAGCTAACATTTGTGCCAAGTTTGATTAGTATTGAAGCAGGTTTTATAGTTTTATAACAATTTGAACTTGTAACGGGAGACTTTTCAATGAAAAAAGCCATTTTTCACAAAATGCTTATGAAGTAATGGGTTGAATGTACTATCGATTAAATACAATCATCTAACATGATTTCCGCGAATCGTTAACATGTTTTACTGATGTCATTCTTTTTAAAATTTCGACATCAGACATCAGCGTGTTTTTACAGCAAGCATGATTTCCTTAACCCGTTGAAAAGAAAAAAGTAAACAAAATTGACGTAATTTGGCGTTTACCTGAAACGGAATATAACCGCCAAGTAATGCGTTTAATGAAACCAACAAAAATGATAAAAAAGCAACACTGACGACGTTAATATGTATGTACAGTTTGCAAATTATACGGGCGTTTGCCAAATTTTAAAAGGAGTTTTGCATGCGATTCGGACGAAAGGAAAGTGTAAGTATCTTAAAGATTAAAGATCAGTAAAAGTTCTGAGCACAGACAACTGACAGACATTCTTTGAATGCGAACGGATACGGTTCGCTTGGTGCCCAGGCTATTTACCAAGGTCGCACGGAATGAAATCATAGCATGAATGTCAAGTGAGAATTTAAATGAATCACGTTGATGTCGGAATGACGTCGTGACTTGCACCGCTCCCTTTGTAATGCAAAGCTTCAACTCTTTGTGAACCCATATCATTAAATGTATGAAATCTTGCAAGTAAATTTAATTTGAATATGCACAAATTTGAAAAGGCTATGATATCTGTTTTTATTCTATTAAAGTATCATTCAAGCTTTTGGGATTGCCGTTGTTTCTACTAAATGTCTAGTTTCTGTTGATTTGTCTCTGTCATATGTCTATGAACAGGCTCAATCAAACCGAGCCAACAACTTTTTCAATTTTGACTTTTTGGAGATCTACATGGACTATGTTTTCTTCTATTCTTTTCTTTACAGCATATTATAACGTACGAATTTTATATTAAAATACAGAACTATCAGGAAGTCATCATGAAATTCTAATAAGACTTCCATCCAGAGATAAACGATCTTAGAGGAAGACGCGTCATCGCGAATAATATGGTATTCAAGTTTCCCGTTTCCCCTGAAATTGATTGAAAAAAACATTGGAATGACCTTATCAAATGACGAAACGTGTCACACAATTGTCAGTGAAATGAGCTTACGCAATCATGCAAGGGTTCACGAATAATCACTGTTAACGAAAAACATCGAATCTTTATGAACTTTTCTTTCATGTATTTAATTATCAGTTTGGAGAAATTCTGGGATGTAAAGAAAATGAATAAAAAGTAGTTCTAATCATTTTACAGCATCAAAATAGAAGACACAGTCACACGTCACTCAATGTAATTTAAAAACAGGAGGAGTGCCATGTTATTAATTTAGAACTTTGAAGAAGTTAGCAAATGAAGATACTTTATTATTTACATATGTGTACAAAATATTTAGCAATGTCGAAGTATTTCAAGTTCAGAATGTTCTTTTTCCCTTAAAATATATTCATAGTATACTTATATGTAAATAACTGAACGATTAAACACGGCAGTAAAGTAATGTACGTTCTTTTATCATTACAAGTTTTTTTCTGTTAATCGAAATCAAAGTTTTGACAGTAATGCTGGTTACACTCATATGGTACGTTATGTCAAGTAGTTTACAGTAGTTTCGCGTAATAGTTTTACTTTTTCTTGTAAACATCAGTGAATAATTGAATGAAATTGTTCCCTAACAGAGAGGCTATGGCTAATTTACGACCTGTATGTAAATATCAAGATAAAAAGTTGTGCGTGTTTTAAGTTGTCTAGCAAAGTCGCATTTTAAAACAGCTGACCCGTATGCCAGAAGTTTTACAATAATTCCTTTTGCTTGACTAATAAAAGTTCATGTATCTTGAAAAAGATATCAATTTGAATTTTTTACTAATGTGGTTGACCATGATTTTGATAAATACGATCGTGCATACTATACATGTATATTCCAGCCTCTAGCCATGAAGTATTGATATTTTAAGATGTTAAAATGACCTTTTCATTATCACTACACGAAATAATACAAAGTTTGCAAAAGAGTATTTGAAACATTTTTCACAAAAGAAATCTTTAATATTCAGCATTTCTTGTTATTAGAAAAAAAAGTGGTTGATTTCTTGTATGAAGAACTTGTGAAAGAAAGAGTGTTGTGCTTTGCATGTATTCAGAATATCAACATCGTTGTAACAGCCTTTGAAGTACAAACAAATGTGTTTTCCAATATGTGAGTCAATTGTTGTTTTTTAAACCTTAAAAGCAGAGATCTCTTGATAACACTGACAAAAGTGAACTTCAAAGAGGATGCAGATTTATTTGAAAACGCTTTTATAACAAAACACACAAAAGACAACAAGTACAAATTGTTACATTTGTATCAGAACAAATTATTGTGTAACTACAGTTAAAATAGACAATATCACAAAGAATATCTATAAACACAGTTCTACATGTTACAAGAATATGAATATATGAAATATTGAAAAAACATAAACAGCAGTATTGTGTGGTATCAGGTAAATAGTTTAAGGTCTGATATAGACGAGGAGTAAAAAGAAAGGAAAAATGAAAGTTTGGAAAGTTAAGGTCATGTTTTTGTTTTCTAATTGTTATAGCTTTGAGTGACTCATTGTGTTTTATTTACGCAATTAATATTATTCTAACATATAACACACTTTAATACCTTAATAACAAGTTTTCCTTTTTTATCGAAAATATCATGATGCGATTGATTTCAATATTGCTTCTTTTTAACGTAGGATTTTATTTCATTTTATTCAATTTCGATTGACTTGTTTTCTTTTTTCCAATAGAAACTACTTTGAACTTTTTCGGGTTTCCGTGTCTTGATTTCTTTCAGGTTTGCCATTATCTGGAATCTATCTGCAAGTTTGCTTGCATCAGTTAGCATAAACCAATCAATAAAATATGTTACATATATGAAGTATTTTGAACAAGCTTTAGTATCTTTTTTGTTAATGTTTTGTTGTTGCTTTTTTCCAGATACTGCCAATATGAGGGTTGCAAGCTCTGTTAGATAGAATTTATAAAGATTATAGTCGACTCAAATGTATTTGATTGATCCATTTTATGAATATTTTGTGTTATCTAGAAGTTTCCAGGCATCAACCATAATGACATAAGAGCAGAAAATAAAAGAGATAAAAAAAAAGAAATTCTTACAAATAAATGTGTATTCATTCCGTTCTTTCGTTAAAGAAGTGTCATTTTGTATGGATATGAAAAAAGTTAATAACTATATGAAATGTATGACACAGTTTACTTACATGAAATAATAAACTTTTGATTATAAATCCTAAATTACGTGGCACTAAATTAAAAGTCCATCCTATAATATACATATCAATCGGATTTTTATTTACAACACAGACAGTAGCTCAGTAAATCTTTAAATTCAGTCCTGAATTTTTCGCTCATGGATGCGTATATAAATGGATTATATATTGTAGAACTCATAGCGACTAGGTGGGCTATGAAGAAAATCAGGCTATAGTACGGGGAATATTTAAATGTCTGATGTAATTCTTGTATGATAAGAAACAGATTTAATGGCATCCAGCAGACGACAAATATCGTAACAACATAAATCATCATTTTGTTAGTCCGGCGTTTCCTTTGTATTTCTCTTTGTTCGCGTTCAGAATCTGTGCTATTCCTTACAATGTCAGACTTTGAACGTCTGTCCAATGCCAGTGAAATCTTCACGTAACAGTATATTATTATACTGCATGGTATCAAATACTGAAGTACCATGTTTGTAAAAGTAAAGGATAGCTGTGCTTGCCTTTTCGGCCATTTTTCTTCACATATAACAGTATCATTCACAATTTTTGTTTTGCTGTAGTATCCCAAAGGCCATGAAATTGCGCTGGACAAACACCAAATGAAAACTACGATAACGAAACACGTACATCGTCCTATTTTTGGTTTAAGAGGGTAAACAATGGCAAAATATCTGAGCACGGCTATGACTGTACATGAAAGAGTTGACACGTATACTAATATACACATCGTCATAGGCAATAAAGCACATAAAAACTCTCCAAAAATCCATGATTCCATAAAAAAAGGCAAAGGCGTAAAAGGAATAGCAAATAAGCCCATCATTATATCAGATGAAGCTAGATTAGCTATATATATGTTTGTTATACTGTGCATTGCCTTCTTTCGAAGGACAACAAAAACGACTAGCAAGTTACCGCTAATTCCAACCAGAAATACTATAATGTATAATATGATGAACACAATTTGAAGAGGTGTGGTTTGAAATAAAATGTCGTACACCATTGTTGCATTTAACTTCTTTTAAATTCTTTGAAGAATTGAACAAGTTTTCATGTAATGTGTTGCTATTTTCGGTTTATCATATAATTATAACATATAATGTTCGCATCTTCATCACAACTTCGTTGCATGTCAGGCTGCCATTGCACTTGAAACTGTAAATAAAGTAATATATACTATCGAGCTGTCGGTAAAAAAGACATGCTAATAGAGCCTTAAGTGTATAAAGCTATACCTGGTATAATATTTTATTAGATAAAAACATTAAAATTAAGTTGTTTTCATAGCCTTATAGTTATTTCTTTAAAGATTTGTAACAAACAAATTTCTATGTTATTTAATATACAAGAGTACTGTAAGATAACATAATAAATGAGCCGCGTCACGACAAAACCAACATAATCCGCGCAGTCTGATCAGGATCCATGCTGTTCGCTTACAAACCCTATAACAAGTAGAGAAACTGATAGCGAACAGCATGGATCCTGATCAGACTGCGCAGATGCGCAGGCTGGTCTGGATCCATGCTGGTCGCAAACGCACTATGTTGGTTTTGTCATGGCACGGCTTAAATGCTATTTTAGTAGGTTTTGCAACGATATCACACATGATCATTTGCTTTCAATAAAATAGACAATTTTCTTTCATTCTAGGTATTTACAATATAAACAATTATTTTTCAATCCACAGACAAACAAATATAAGACTTTATACACTTGAATACTTTACATCATTTTGATCGTTGGAGTTCTTGGAGTGTACAGTTAAACCTGTGTTAAAGACACCTCCGAATAAAAACTACCCTTCAATGAAGACCACTTTTTGACAAACCTTCATTGATAAAAATACAATTAAATACACTACGAATAAAGACCACTTGCCTATAAAGACTATGTAAGGTATGTCCTTTGATGTCCTTTATTCACAAGTTTGACTGTAGCTTGAGAAAAAAATGTTGAGAATCAACAAAAAAATAAACTTTGCGAAATCCTCGATGTTTGCCACTTGTTTCAAATCGCGTAGTTATTCAATATTTTGTTTACGTCTAGAAAGATTATACTTATAACGTACTTATCCCTTAAAAATATCCTTTTTTTTACAGCATTCCTATGTTTCTTTGCAAGAATTCTTCATATGTTATGAACGGGACATACCAACAAACTAAAGCTATGAAATATCGTTATACATATAATTTCTCTTCGTCATAATCTGGTGTAATTTGTTATGAACTTTGTGTATGTAAGTGTAACCTTTAGAGTCGGCATCGGTTGTAGAACGAATAATGGAATTAATTTGATAATTGGAATAGTGACATTTGGAACTTCTAACAAATGCTTACAGAATTTATCTGAAGCAAATTATCATTGTTATATTCCGTGTGGGTCAATATGTAAATGCAATATGAAGTATGTTTTCCAATTTAGCTTGGGATTCCTGATTGTATAAACTATACTTTGGCTTTTAAATGATATCAAAATCATGTGTTTAGTCAACAGATTAAGAATTTTATTCACATTTGAAATGCTTTATACGAGTAACTTCATGTAAAATATGGCTTAAAAGAACTGAAATACGGGCTTATTTAAAAGCTCGGGCAAAAGTAGGAAAATCACCGATACATGTTTGTAATGATATTTGTAAAATTTATGGCAACAATGAACCTTATGTAACTGTTTGAATCTAGTTGAAAATGAAATTGTTCCATAGTTACAAAAAAATCTATAATATTGAAAAAACGGAATCTCTTAAGGACGCCCAACGCGACTATATTGAAAATGTTGCATGCGCGGTTTGATTGAGCCTTTTCATTGACGGTACTGGGAAGTGCAGGTTACCGTCCACACCCGCTTGCACCGGCTTAAATGCAATTCAAAATTTAAACACAAAAATTAATCAGCAGATGTATTCATACGGCGGTTATCATTAAATCTTCAATGTGACACGTTAGTGCCATTTCAAAAGCGGCTTTATACTGTTGGCTGTATAATTCTTAATTTTTCATCTCGATTTCATCTAAATATTGAATACACTTTTGACATAGTAAGCAGGAAAGGTCCAGGGTATTCAGCGAGGTAAGATATAAGCTGGATCAGCATGAACTGTTTTTCAACAATCTGAGAACCTAATCCACAACAAATTCAAACATGCCTAATTCATGGTAATTGACTTTTTCATTTCTACACGTGCTTCACGCGCTTATCTTGTTTAGTTAATATAAGTATACATGTAAAATAGTGTCATTCAATGTGTCTTAACTATTACATAATTATGATATTTGTATTAACCCTTTGAGACAAGCGTCAGATTATTGAAATCCAAACAAAATAAAATAATGTCGGCATATTAAAAGTATTTAAAAACATAAATCAAATTCTGCCTAGTATTTGAAATGAACAAAAACATTTCTGTTGTTGTATGCAATTTTGACAAAATCAGTTGCCTATAAGCTTCTAAGTGGTGCACGTCCAATCATCAATCGTTAACGATTTTTTATAAAGGTAAATATGTTGTTAACAAGTCATTTATCAATGAAACATACAATCTGTTTGCGACCCGCCCTTAAATTGCACAATTTTAGTGGGGGAAAAAATTATGTGCAAATTGAAAAAGCAACACAATTTCATGATGACAATTTAACATTGCATTTACAAAATATATGCAGACGATGTCAATTTTATTTTACATTATACATTGATACATGCACATGAATATGAAAAGAAATGTCAAAAAAGGGTTTAACAAACCTTATCCTGAATAAAAGCTGCTTTTGCTTAAACATTCAAACAAGAACATAAAAGTCAATATATGCGTGTAATTAATTTAAAAATATGTATATTCAGGGTAATAAAAGTGATTGAAAATATGAGTGAATACGCTTTTCATATATAAAAGAAAATAGAAATGCGTAACGATCGTAAATAAGCATATGGAACAGAAGAGTCGGGTCAATTTTGTGAGGAACAAAAAAAGGGAAGAAGTAAATTTTTGAAGCTCTATTAACAGGATTTTGAAATAATTACCATAGTTTCAAAACTGTCACTAGTTTAGTTTTTTCAAACCATTGATAAAAAATATATCTCAGAAATATTTATATGAATTAACAAATATACATGCAGTATTGGTCTGTAGAAGAAGTAAACGTTTTAATTATTGTCTAACTGGTATGACATTGTGCCGCTGGTGTAACAAATGAGACCATGCGATTAAGTCTTCGAGATTTATCATAAATATAAAACAATTAAACACAGTAACTTATTCAAATTTAATTAAAGAAATATTATGTGTATATAAACAGGAACCATGCTGTTCGCTTACAAACCCTATTACAAGTAGAGAAACTGATAGCGAACATTATGGATCCTGATCAGACTGTGCGGATGGTGTGGATCCATGCTGGTCGCAAACCCATTATGTTGGTTTGGTCATGGCGCGGCAAACATCCTAATAGTAAAGAAGCTGATTGTGATGTTTAATGAATAAAGAAGTTCCTCTAATTATGGCTACTTGTTTGTGGATTCAATTATTTAATTAAGAAGCTGTTTTTTAAGTTTTACTGAGGCTTGCGAATATTCTGATATGAATTATGTTTGTTTGTTTCATTTTACGCTTTTTCCCAACAGAATTTCAGTCATATAACGGTAGGCGGGTAGTTTCCTAACCATCGTTCCTGGAGAGTTACACCAGTACTAGACTACCTTCGCGCTAAACTACCAAAGCATCTCCCGGGGATCGAACCGACGCCAGAGAGGTAACTGGATTAGAAGTCATCGACTCTAACCCCTCGACCACGGAGGAATTATGAATAGCATATGTTTGAATGTTTGAATTTTATATGCTTTAAATAGAAAGGTGGTCATATATCAAGACTTCTTGAAATAATAGAAAATAAAATGTAGTTGAAAATCTTAAAATTGGTCTTTTCTTGAGATGATGGAAAGTGCAAGATTTCTAATGCCCCCTGTCACCGACCTTAGATCTCTCATGCCCCTTGTCACCGACCTAAGATCTCTCATGCCTCCTGTCACCTACCTGAGATCTCTCATGCCCCCTGTCACAGACCTAAGATCTCTCATGCCCCCTGTCACCGACTTTTGATCTCTCATGCCCCTTGTCACCGACCTAAGATTTCTCATGCCCCTTGTCACCGACCTAAGATCTCTCATGCCCCCTGTCACCGACCTTATATCTCTCATGCCCCTTGTCACCGACTTAAGATCTCTCATGCCTCATGTCACCGACTTAAGATCTCTCATGCCCCCTGTCACCAACCTAAGGTCTCTCATGCCCCTGTCAACGACCTAATATCTCTCATGCCCCCTGTCACCGACCTAAGATCTCTCATGCTCCCTGTCACAGACATAAGATCTCTTATGCATCCTGTCACCTACTTAAGATCTCTCATGCCCCCTGTCACCGATCTATGATCTCTTATGCCCCATGTCACCGACTCACCCCTCACCGACCTGAGCGGATACCTATTTAGGATTTGTATGACGACACGCAGTATCGTATACACAACATAAATTATGTTTTTAAAGTAGTAAAGTAGTAAGATTGTATTTATTCAAACTATATCAGGATAAAGGCAAAGAATCTGCAAGACAACTTCAGATTCAATAAGCGGATATTACCAAAGGCAATAAATAAAGAATTTGAAAGGTCATATGATACTTCCACCCTGCTGAATCAAAACACTAAGTTGCACTGGTTCAATGGTTTGTTTTTTAACATGATGAATACACCATGTTTAGTAACAGACTTAATTAATGTCACTTATTCATATTTTAACTCAATGACCTCCTGTCAAACATGATTTCTTTTCATTTCCGCCTGTAAGATATTTTACTGAATTATATTGAGTGTTCTGCTTATGTTACAATGATTATACATGAAGATATGAAGTTTAAACATACTTTGGTAAAAACAGTAGATGTTTTGCAAAACAGAATAGAACAGCTTAGCAGCTTTAGCGCTATTTCTATAACTGTGAATATGATTGTTAAACTAAAAGATAAATCAATCTTATTTTATAGAAATAAAGGAAATAACCAATGCTAATTTTTATATTTAAATAGGTTACCTTATGTCAAATTTCCGGCATGAAGTTATTTAGGATATTGATTGCTTTGCTCGGCTTTCAATGATTATTCATGAGCAAAATAAGAACAAGCTTTGGGGATTTAAACAGATCTCTGGCACTTTTTGAAAAGTGGCTTTTATCACAGAAGAATAATGACCTCTTTTCCAAATCCTTTCATATATATCACGTGATGTGTTAAGATATTTTGTAACAAAACTGTCTTTTCCTTGGTCTAGCACTTAAAATCATTTTAATACAATCGATGAAATGAAAAATCAGGTTCATGTTCATAAGTCATAACATGCCAAGTTTTCAGAAGTTTATTCAACTTATCTAGAGATATTTTAACTTACCATTTTTGAAAGCGAAAAATTTATCATGGTATAATAAGGAAAGTAATTCCTGATACAATGCTAAACAGGTAACATACGTAATACTGCAAATAACAATGGCAAATGATTAATGTTTAGTATCATATAGTTTAAATCTTGTAAAAATATCAATTATACAAGGTTAAATCCGAACTACATTTTATCTTATACGACGCCCTTTTGGGCGGACACATTTTTATTTATTATACATAGCACACATTTCAAAACAGATATCTGTAAATAGCATAAAGACAATAGTTGAGCATTGCCAGATCCAATAAACATTATAATCATTAAACTTTCCCGGTCAAAAATGAAAGAAAAATAAACAGCACACTGCTACTACAGCAACAATAATCTTATTATTTTAGAGTAGAAAAAAAGTAATATATTTTAGTTTCATGAATAGTATGTTTAATAAGTATGTTCATCAGGGACTCTATCAAATTATTTACAGCACCATTTTCCTCAATGTGAACAATAAGTAACGTATTTGCCTAGTTTGAATACTTCACATATCATATGATATCGTATGGCACAAGATAAAAAAGACAACACGACCAACAACAGACTTAATTTTAAATCTTGAATTTACAATAAAGTACTGAAATTATTTAAAGTTCTAATAAGCTTCACTTAAATGACCTCACTATCATAACATATTAAATGTATTTTATCAACTATGTTTATTATAATATAGT